AAAAAAAAAAAAAAAAAAAACAGTTACTTTGAGGCGGATAATAAACAGTAAGTGTAACTCACTTTATTTTGACATATCAGATTTCCCGGACAGTTATGCAATCCTTGCTCACATTCGTCAATGTCTGTACAATAGTAATTCGTTTAGATAAGAAATATAAATAGCTAATATTTTTTTCTTCCATTTTACATTTTTTAAAACTTTCACGTCAAAAGGAAATTTATTAATCAAATTTGTTAATATGGGACTAGTTGAAATTATTCTGCAACAGCAATACTGCCGAAGTATAACTGAGAATATACTTTTTTTTCTTCTTCAAATCTCTAACTGAAACAATCATCTATTCGGCAGTTTACTGTTTCGATAAACCATAAACCTATATGTCAGCCAAATTGTTGTAAAGCAAAAAGAACATATTGTTGTTGTTATTTTTGCAGATTGTTTCTATAACTGACCTGCACAACGTTCCGCTGGTAAACCCAATTGTTGGAATCCTTCTGTACAGTTACAAAAGTAAGTTCCGGGTAAATTTACGCAAACAGAATGCTCAGGACACTGAGCAATACCCAATTCGCATTCGTCAATATCTGTAAACAACAAATGTCCGTTTGAAAAAAAAAAAAAACAGACTTTTTTGTATTAAATTTTGCTCTATAACAGAAGCGTTCCAATGTACCAATAAAATACTAATGTTATTTGGTACACTTTATATTTTTTTTATTTTAGCCGTATTTGATTGCAAACAGTCTTTGAAATCAAAAACTGATGTTTAAGATAATAATAAACAGCACACAACAAAAAATATCACCATTTTTTTTTTCATTTTATCAATAATTTCCGTCGTCTTCCTTCTTCTCTTTTCTCTTTTTTGTTTTTAATTGTTAAACGTCATTCGTAATTGAAGAGGAACGAGTATCCAAAACAAAAAAAAACTCTCAAACAGTATAGAAAAAACTACAAGAACATATTTCAATTGATATTTCCATTTTTTTAATGATGTAATCAAAGCATCACTGCTATGCAATTATCACCACGGATGATAAGACAATTTGTGGTTAGTATATACCAACACTGAGAATCATCACTTAAGATTTATTTGGTAAAACAAAAGTCTGAAAAATTAGACAACGAATTGGAACAGCACACAACTTTGGAAGCAGTTTTGAAGAGATCTATATTTTTACAACAACATCAAAAAAAAAAAAAAAAAAAAAAACATTAACTTTTCATAATGTGTATCTGAGAATCCGAAAACATCTTCTGATTTTTAAATAATGCAATTTTTTGTTTGTCCAACGTTTTAACATACAGATCATAGCCGTGCTGCCGGTACAGCAAATACATTTACTTATCAGTATCCCGTCATAGTATTAAATGAAAAAAATTTCATAAACCAATTAATTTTTGACAGTTTTAAGTGAAAACATAACTTATAACAACAAATTTTTCTCTTTTCATTTTTCTTTCATTTATGCCTTTTTCCTGCCAAATTTTATAAACTATTTTTGAACGTCACAATTATATTTATTGCACTATTTTTTTCCTTCTTGTTTTTTTTCTTTTTTCTAATGAATAAAGTTTTCAATTCAAGAATGTAGTCGTAAATTAAAAGAAAAATTTTGTTGGAAAAGAAGAAAAAAAAGAAAAAATTTTTTCCCTTTTTCATTCTCTTTTTTCCTTTCAAAGAGATTTTACTAACAGATTTTTTTTTCGCTGCCAACAAATAAATAGTATCGGAAAAGTAAAATTAAATAGTAAAAGGTGCAAAAAGTTGGCCTTGGCCTAATAACAAGGCCAAAAAAAATTGAAACTTACGCAACCGATGATAAACCACAGCGGTGAAATGAGAAATTGGAAACGGGCGATGATAGGGGCTGATGAAGGGCCCTGCCGGATGGGGGTGCGGTAGGGTGGGGTGCGGTGCGATGAATAGGGTGAGGCAGGACAGAGGGATACAGATGGGTGAAACGATGGCAGTAATGCCTCAAAGTCAATCAAACTTCACTTTTCTTCATTTGTTCTTTTCTTCTGCTGTTGTTACCGTCAATCTTTGTTTTTACTCCTTCCCTCTTTCATTCTTTATTTTTATCTTTTCTTTTTTTTTTCTGTTTTGCTAAGTTCAGATGCCCAAAAAGGTCAAATAACTTCTACGGGAAATGAAAGAAGACTGGCGGAGGGCGGGAGGCGGAGACGGCGTTGAGGAAAGGGGTGGAAAAAAGAAACAACTCTTTCTTAAGTTACTAGTTTTTTTTTTTTAAACAAAATTTTATCATTTCTAACCAATTCAATTAGCATACAAATCCTCAAAAAAATAATTATCGTTCTTCTTTTTTTGTTCTGCTTACTTTGTCAGCCAATGAAAATGAAAAAAGAAAAGGAGAAGTGAATAAATCAAGAAAATTGATGACGATAAAAAAAAAAGGAAAAAAAGAAAAATTTTTTTTTATCTGTAGATAAAAATAAGACAGAAATGAATGATGGAGTATGATTATTTTGGCAGACACGAAAACATTTGGTCAAAAAACATTTTTTTCTCGCAACTTTGTTTATTTATTTCTCTGTTTCTTGGCAACAATTTTGCAAAAAACAAAACAAAAGACTTTTATTATTTGACAATTTTTTTAAATGTTTCAAGTAGACAAATTATGCGGCAAAAAAAATAGACTAACGATTAGGAAAAAAATAGGGAACAACAAATGATAGCAAAAAAAAAAAATAAATAAATAAAATTTAGAAGTAAACGATGACGAAAAAAAAAGGGAAATCAATGAATCGTACAATTCACCAATGTTGGCAACAACTTTTTAACGTTGATTGAACGACAAAAAATCTTAACAACAGTAGCAGTGATATTTACGGTTCTTCTAAAAAAAAAAGTTTCAAAATTAATTTCATTTTGTTAATTTATTAGAAAAAAAAAGAATGTATAAAAAAAAATTCTTTTTTTATATATCTATTGAAAACAAATTGGTGACTTGAGAAGTGAAAAAAGAAGAAGTTTGTTGCTCTACAAAAAAGTTGCCTGCCTATTTTAACTTTATAGATGTTTATAGATTTCAATTCTTTTTTGTTCTTGATGCTTTTCTGTAAATCACTAAAATACCACATAGCTGAGAATTTACCCGGACATTGGTGTGAAATCATAGAATGGAATGGAATACAATGGTAAGTAATTCTAAGACTGTTACTGTTGTCAGTGAAGAAAAAGCAAACAATTATTCTTTCTGATACTAACTTAAATTACATTTATTTTGAAATTGTCAATAGTTTGAATTGTTAGTGAACTAAATGCAAAAAAAAAAAAAAAAGAAAGGAACCATGCAAAGTAATCTTCTTTAAATAGCTTTCCACTCAATCAGTTTATCCAAATCTGATTGTCAGTGTTACGCCTCACAAATGGTTAACCGATCTTACCAAATCTGCGGACACATTTGAACATTAAAAAACAAATTGATATAAGTAAATTTTACCAGAACATTCGTGTCCGTTTCCTTGAAAACCGGGGAAACAGGTGCAGTAGTAAGAAGAAAGTGTATTTTGACAATGTGCTAACCAATGGCATGGCTTATCTTCACATTCGTTAAAATCTATAATCATTGTTCAGTAATGATTAAATCATAACAGTTTTTCTTCTTAAATATTCTATTTTTAAAAAAATATGTGATCAGATGAGAAATGATAAAGCTGAAACAGTGCTAAAACAGTAGAGGATTATTGTCAAATAACCTCTCGACAACTTATCATCAATATTTAGCACCTTTTTGTCGACGATGTTTTATTAATCATTAAAGAGACTGTTTTAAGCGAACGACAATGACATCATAGAGTAGAAAAGATAATAATTATCAGATCAAAATTAATT